GTGAGGAGAGCTTCAGCGCAGCCTCTAACAAACGTCGTATCACAGTCTGTGTGCCAAAAACCACGATTACAGACACGTTGCTTTGCTTGGCTCTCTCGAATACCCTCTTAATCGTGTCCTCGTAATCAGCTATTGTAGGAAATGCACTAGTGAAGCTTTCTTTTATGTCAATACAGATGCCATTTCTTTCAGCAGCCTTCCAGAATTCTTCCATGCCTTTTGTCCCATACGTTCCAGCAGAATTAACAGTTGCGACGTAGTTCCAACCGAATTTCTTTATGATGTCAACCATCGCTTGGGCTTGGAACGTGTCGGGGGCAACGACCCTTAGGAAATAGCTGTAGACGTCTTTATTGCTTAGAGTTATGCTCGTGGAAGAGTAGCTTATCTGTGGTATTTCAAAAACTCGTAGAAAATTAGCAACCGTCTCGGAAACCCCGCTACTCAGAGCTCCTATAACCCCAGCAAGTTGTCCAACACTCTGGCGTTTCAAGGTTGCTTTTATGAATTGCTTCGCCGCATCATTTGCAATGGTTTTGCTTTGACACGTGTCGTATATCTGAGCTCCAAGGGTGATGTTTTGTAAAATATCTGGATTATTATTTACTTCCTCGATCGCGAACAGCATCGCTGACATGTACTGATATCCCGGAACTTCGCTGAAATTTCCGCAGACATTTTCGTTTTCGGTACTTTTCTTGTGAAGTGGAAACTGACCACCTATTATGATGTCACCGGGAATTTCTATGGCACCTGTAAAGAGTAAGGGATTTATAAAGGTCCTGCATTACTTATGTATTGAGAGAAGACAAAGAACTCCGGCTAAATTGTATTAATTACATTAAGGTGGCTCCCTAAGGTCTTGCCTAAGGTTTTGAGAATTTTATAAGTGGTTTGATGATGCAGAATTAGGCACCAACATTGTAAACTATAGATTAAAATTAGCCTTAACGTATTGATTACCATGTTCGAAATAAGAAAATATTGATTGGCCAATTATAGAAGCTGTTGCCATGGGAACAATGACGTTTCAATATGGCCACCAATTATCATTAAATTACGATTATTTCACAAACCCTTCGGTGAAATGTCTTCTTTTTCCACTGAACCTTTTTCCAGATGGTTAGTAATTGAAAGGACAATTTTAAGAAAAAGTTATCGATACAAAAAAAATTAAAGGGGGAAAATATGGTTTTACGCAATTAAAAAAAATCCTATCGATAACTTTCTTTTAAAATTGTCCGGTCGTTTACTAAATGACCTGCAAAGCATTCGGCGAAAAATAAAAAAAAATTCACCGAAGGATTCACGAAATAATTGCAATTAAATTATAATTAGCGGCCATGTTGAAACCTCATTGTTTCCATAGCAACGGCCTTCATAGTTAATCCGTCAACAGTTTCTCATCTCTAACGTACTCCACAACACAATCAAAAGTATTTTTGATCTTTAGTCTGCAATATTAGTGCTTAATTCGCCACAACAAACCTACTATCTAGAATTTTTACAAAACTCTAGGGAGCCACCTTAAATGGGTTTGTGTTGTCATTTCGCAGTGCTCGGAAGCTTTCGTATAAGTGGATAATGTTTTTCTATGCTTTTTGAAGAACGAAGCTATGCTATTGGTTTAAACAGAAATGTATTGTTCAGCCTATTCCCCTACCCTTGTCATATTATCCAGCTGATCTGGTAATAAAAATCAACCAATCAGAAGCCAGATCTTCGACAAAACTGAATTATCATTTCCGTCATTGCATATGACTTCGACAATCGAAAATATCCAGTAATTTTATTATATTTACGGCTTAAAACGTTTGTATTTTTCCAACTTTAAATTAGAATTTAAATTTTTCGCTCTTTATACTATTAGTTAGAAGAATAAGGACAAATAACACCAGGCGTATGGTAACTCAGTTTTGTCAAGACGCCTCATGACGTTATGATCTCAGATCAGCTGGATATCTTGGCGGGAAAAATGGTATTTCAGAAGCAATCTTTGCGACCAATCAGCAAGCGCACACTGTGTAAATCCGGCTTATGGCAAACAATTTTTGCCGTTTCTACGAAGTAAACGCAATTATTTATTGCTTTGTATCGTGAGTTCGCGTGGAAAAAATTTGATGTTTGAGGGCTCTTTCCTGCCGCAAAAACCTACTCACAACTTGCTCGGAGACCGTGCTTTCATTGAATTAAAATAAAAACGAAAGTATTTTTGTCGGATTAAAGCCCCCGCAAAGGGCTTCGAACTGCCTGAACTGGTATGAACGTTGCGATGGGTAAAAAATCTTGAAACAGGCCTATATTATATGCATATATCTCGTCTGAGAACCGTCGATTGTCCTCTAGGGTTTTATGAAAGCCTTCTTGATAATAATTAAACTCTCATCAACTCTCACACAAGCCTGCATTACAATAAATATAAGAAGTAACTCGGCTTCACATCGTACATACAATTCACACGTACAGTCAGAATAGCCTCTACTTTTAATTCCGATTTCCTAAAGAACTTCGCCGACTTTTTTCCGTTCCTCTGTTCGAGATTGGCTTTTTGAAGACCGCCGACGGAATATAATAGAAAATATCTGTGTGTGTCTATAATGCGATTGTTTGTCGTGTACCGTAATACATTTGTAAATACAATACAATATAAATACATGGCATTAATTTCTGTTGACATTTTTTTCCATTAATCGATATATATTGCTCGGTGACGCACATTGAAACTTAAATTACGAACGCGTATGATTAAGCTCGGTAATTTGGTAATAATAGAATATTGCATTTTTTGAATAGATTTTGCTTGAAACGAGAAAATCAAATGTAAAAGAGTTGAGTTTTAGCGAATGACACTAAACTTGCAGGTCAGACGGTAAAAATTGTTCTCGCGAAAGGTTAAAGCAGCTTTAGCTCAACTTGATCTCTTTTACTTCCTGGTTCAACTAGCTTTATTTACAACGTAGAATGCAATTTTTATGTTTAAAATAATAACAAAATGTCGTTACTGGTGCACCCAACCATTATAATTGCGGAAAATATCGATTATCCGTGAGAGGAATTGTGAGGTAAATATATAATGAAATGCAAACATACCGTTTTCACTTGTAGTCAGTATTCCAACAACATTGAGTATTATTAAGATGATGCATTCAAAACTCGCAGATATTTGCCTTGTTGAATGTGAAATCATCATGTTTCCCCGATGCTCGTTCTGCACTGCGGTTTTGCGGTGTTCTCCTTTCGGCTGCTAAAATAACTGGTTGACTTTGTTTTGATTGCGAATATGAAATGTTTGCACAGTTCCGCCTTAGTGTAATGAATTCAAAATTTTCAGTAAAGTCATTACTTTCGTTAGTGACGTGAAGGGGGGGGGGGGAGAGCGGATACAAGCGAACTCTTGTACTTTCACAAGAACTGCAAGAGAGCAGAATTACTCTGCTTATTTGAACAGGCAATCGTTAAGCAAACAACAATAAAAGCGATAATCACAGTCCTTACAGCGAAAGGAAAATACTTCTGTGAAATATTTATCCATGTCTAGCGGTCTAGTCGATCAGAGCGCGCATAAGACTGGGACTAGAGGCAGGATAGAATTCCCGCAATGAGACCACTTTAAACATTGAAGTCATGCAATGTAGTTTGAGATGTATAACTGATCAATCTCACAAAGCTTAAAGCAATGTTAAATACCTTACATCAAGTATATTTAATTAATTAAAGAATTTTTACACCACTCTTGTTTTCAAGGTCTAGCCCCCCCTGGACGTGCTCTGGTTTCTTCCCTCCCGGAATATTAAGAGGTGCTTGAAACGTCCTAAGGGTCGATTTCCGCAGTCGTGTTTGCAATCCGAATTTCACGCACGTAGAAACTCCAATCAATGTACGCTGATACAGGATGACGATTTGAAGTGAATATTATGCTATTAGCAATAATATTTATACGAAAATACAATATTTCGACCCTCGACCTTTCTTTCGAGCATCACTTCAAAGCCTCGACTCTCGACAAAACTCTAAACTTCGTAAACGTCATAAAACCCGTTTCATAGTTCAACCAACACGATTTGTTTACTTAAAAGCAACAGAATTACAGAAAACGTCGTAAAATCAATCAAGACGGTGTCTTTTGACAGATAATGACGTCATATGCACACAAGGAATGTGTAAAAGTAGGATACAGTCCGTAATGTAAACCAAAACTTTGTTTACAGTTTGAATCACTATACTTCCTAGTTCCTAGCTTGTTTAAACTTGTTTCTACGATGTTTTCCCAACAGCGTCATATGTCTGATTGGCTGTCGAAAGTTCGGAAAGTTCGTTTGTGCCTGTCACTCTATATTTGTGGTTATTGTAACTATCGTAATTGGTCCAATAATTGTCGAACATCGTCCTCTCTTATAAACGGAAAAGTCACGTCATATTCTCGTACCCAGGGCCTTTAGGCAGCGCTGGACAGTAATAAAAGCTCTGGAAAAGCTCTCTGTGAAATGTCAAAACTTTAGAGTCTTCCCACGTGCTATTTTTTATGACAACCTTACATGTAAATGACAATAATACACGTTATTTATTTTGCAAGAAAAGATTTTTGAAAAGCTTAGTACGAATTTCTTTCTGTCGCTGATATTTTGTTAAAAATTTCCAAATCGATAATCAAAGTGTACCAGAACTTAATCTTTTTAAAACATGGAGAATTTAGAATATTCACCATTGGAAAACTGTATAAATGAGCAAATCCACTTATTGAACGTTTTAAATTTGATTGTGCTTCGTGTTTGCTGTTTGTGATGGCCAGCAACAGTCAGTTTATTTTTTATCCCAGACATGTGATTTGGTTTGATTGTATTTGGAAGAAGTGTACTTCATCGCTGTCTAATAAATCTACGTTGTCTGAATGTTTATTTTTGAATAACAATTTTTTACCCGGACATGTGGATCGGGGAACTTGTAGATTACTGATTTCAAAATTGTGTCACTCAAAGCATATTTTATTATTTCTACGTTGCATGAATGTTTATTAAGTATGATATCTCAAAAAACAGAAAGCATTTTACTTTAAAACTATACTAACAACCCCTAGAAAAGCTATTTCAAATTTGTGCATCTTAAGATCCTTAATCTGAGATTCTTAACTTTAATCCTTAATCTAATACTGTTAATTATATATGTAGAGTAACAACTCTAGTTATGCAAACATAGTTCAGTGAACAATTCCAGTTATACAGATAGAATTCGGTTTCCTATGCATTCGATGTCTTACTGTTTTCTGATTGATTGGGCGCGTTTTTATGCCCAGACCGTGTCGACATCGCGCGATCTTCATTGCGCAAATCCTGACCTCGAAACACGACATAAACCTTCTGGCCAAAGAGACCAAACAACGTCACCAAACCAACGATGACGTAGACCCCCGAAATCAGAGTCGCGTGAATGTCGCGGTGACTCGTGTTGAAAAGGAATGGAAAGAAGATCACCCACACTGCGCATGTCACGTACATCGTAACGCCGATGTACTTGGATTCATTGAAATTCTCTGGAAAATCTCTGGTCTTGAAGGCATAAACCGTACACAGGAGCATTAGGATCATCACGAAAGATAAGTTTCCGGCGAAGCCGAACGCATCATCAGTGCACTCCAACACAAGCTCGCTGCTATCGCTATAGTAGATCTCTTCAGCCTTCACTGGTTTGGCCGTCATCCACAACGCCGTGAACAGCAGCTGCACCGTGACAAGACCAAAAGTGATCAAAATTTGCATACCGGGCGTCACCAATGCCGGGCGCGCGATCTTTGATTTCCCGCTCGTGAAAATGCGATATATTCTGTTGACTTTCATGAATAACGGCGCGTAACACATGGCGAGTGCTAGGCCAGTGAACACGTTACGTGTGTAGCAAACAGAATCTGCTGGCTTCGCGATAAACAGAACGGGTACTAGGAAACACATTGCGATTCCAGCCAGCATGACAAAGCAAAGTTCTCTTCCGGTCGCTTTCAGCAAACGATTATCTTTGTGCACGATATACATTATGATAACACCCAATGTTAGCAACAGTGCAATAACGGAGAGGGATATCATTGCTATGGACCATTCATCACTCAAATTTTGATAGATCTGTTTCCGCTTTACCCAGCCGGTTTTGTTGGAGTTTGGTACCCAACCTTCTGGACCATCCTTACAACTATTGTTCACGACGATCTGTAATTTACTGCACGTCTCGCACTTCCAACAACACTTGAAGTCAAATGTGTGTCTTGGCAATTTAGGTTGATCAGAAAGGCAGTTTTCGGAGCAGTACGAAGCAGGTTTTTTACTCTCCCCCTTCAGCCACATTATATTTTTTTTTAGTACGAACTTTGAAATGATTTGACCGTCGACTATCTCCCCGTCCCAGGCCCCCACGCGCACGTATTTTCCAACGCCATCTTGTTTTCTGAAATTCGTGATGTCGTACATGCCACAGACCTCGTAATTCTTGTCAAACTTCACAGTTGTGTTCACCAACGGATCCCAAAATGTTACATTCTTAAGATGTCCCAAAAGCCTTGTGCGGTCAAACCTTGCCATATTCGGGCAAACTCCCGTCTGATTAGGGCAGAGTTCTTTTTGCAGGCTGTCCAAGGCGAAGGCGTAAGCTTTCACTGCATTGATGGCGACCCTTACTGGACTGTAGTCGATGGCGACATTTTTCAGCGACTCGTTGCCATAGCAATTTCTGTCGTACAACCGAGACCACGATCCGCTGTGTCCTGTCAACTTGCACTGGAATCGATTCTCCCAGAATTCGTAAAAGTATCTAAAAATTGATTATTTTGAGTATTGTTAAACTTTTTGCCTTCGTTTATTATATGATACTTTTTTGTCGCTATACTTTTAAGCAGATTTCATGCACATTCAGGTAGATAAACCCGAAACTCCTTCTAGTTAATGTATTTATTACTGCGCATGCACAACAAACCTTTTGTTCTTCAGTGGATAATTTGTCAAATTGTAACTAGAAAACCGATCTTTAAACTTCTGCGGGACTGTTCCTGTTCTGACCGTGATTGTCAAAGCTCCGAGGGCGGCCTCTTCTGCAGTTTTAACGACGTCGGGTCGGTTGCTCCAGCCGTCGCTTCCTATCCACGTGAAATGTCGTGGTGCACGTGAGGAGAACTTCAGCGCAGCCTCTAGCAAACGTCGTGTTACAGTCTGTGTGCCAAAAACCACGATTACCGACACCTTACTTTTCTCAGCTCTTTTGAATACCCTCTTAATCGTGTCCTCGTAGTCAGCTACTGTAGGAAATGAACTAGTGAAACGTTCTTTTATGTCAATACAGATGCCATTTCTTTCAGCAACCTTCCAGAATTCTTCCATGCCTTTTGTCCCATACGTTCCTGGAGAATTAACAGTCGCGACGTAGTTCCAACCGAACTTCTTTATGATGTCAACCATCGCTTGGGCTTGAAACGTGTCCGGGGCAACGACCCTTAGGAAATAGCTGTAGATGTCTTTATTACTTAGGGTTATGCTCGTGGAAGCGTAGCTTATCTGTGGTATTTGAAAAACTCGTAGAAAGTTTGCGACCGTCTCGGAAACCCCGCTACTCAGAGCTCCTATAACCCCAGCAAGTTGGCGATCACTCTCGCGATCCAGAGTAACTTTTATGAATTGCTTTGCTGCGTCATTTGCAACGGTTTTGCTTTGGCACGTGTCTAATATCCGAGCTCCAAGGGTTATATTTTGTAAAATATCTGGGTCATTATTCACTTCCTCGATCGCGAACAGCATCGCCGACATGTACTGATATCCCGGAACCTCGCTGAAATTTCCGCAGGCATTTTCGTTTTCGGTACTTTTCTTGTGAAGTGGAAACAGACCACCTATTATGATGTCACCCGGCACTTCGATGGCACCTGTAAAGGATAAGGGATTAAGAAAGGTCCTGCTTTACGTAATGCCTTTGAGGGTACTAATTCCGCTTGGAGATTAGGAATTACACCTGGGTATGGTGACTGAACTTTGTGGAATCCTTAATTGTTCAAATTCCATTCTATGTCATGGACGGTGGACGGTCGACGCTCGACCGTTTTGTCAGTTTATGCGCATGCGCAAAAAATAAGCGAGTGAAGACTCGTTTGGTTTGTATTTTAATAATGAGAACGTCAGCAATTTAACTGTCGTCCCGTAACTCTTTTGTAAAGGCTTTTCATAAACTTTGTACAAAATAAAATGTGAATGATCAAGATATATAAAGGGTAACAGATAATCAGTATGAAAAGAAAACATGGATAGAGTTCTGTTCAAGGCTAAGAGAAATAAATCATAAGAGCTTCGAACTGCCTGAACTGGTCATTGCGAAGGGTGAAAAAGATCTTGAGACAGGGCTGCTAACATATATCTCGTCAGAGGACTGGTGATTGTCGTCTAGTGTATTATGAGAGCCTTCTTGATAACTGAACTCTCATCAACTCTCAAAAGCCTGCATTATGCATCTTGGACCTTAAGCATCTAGGGCGGGAACACGACGACGACGGCTATCAATACAATGGTTTATGAATAATTGAAGGCCTGTGGCGGGTTTTAGACGTCGTCTTTGTTCTGTTTACAACGGCGAAACGTCGTTTTTTACGTCTTGTGTAGAACCGTTGCATTTCAGGACCCAGCGAGCGCTACCTCGAATTAAGCTCTATCGAATTGTCCCTAAACATAAACACGATGTTTTCAACGTTTTATATCTCACTAAATCGGTACAATTGATAACATACAACAACCACTTTGCCATAACATTGATTTAAAGGAGTATTTCAGTCGCGTTGTCGTCGCGTGTTGCCGTCCTACATGTTAAGGCTTCTAATAAGTAACTCGGCTTGAATTCACGCATACTTATATATCATTGGACAGTGAGAATAGCCTCGATCTACTTTTAATTCCTTTCGATTTCCTAAAGAACTTCGAACTTCGCCTACTTTTTCCGTTTCTCTGTTCGAGAGTGGCTTTTTCGTGACCTCCGACAGAATAACATCGAAAATATACCCGTTGTGTGTCTACAACGCGATTGTTTAGCGGGCATCGTGATGCATTTATGAAGAATGTAAATGGCATTAAATTTCTGGTGATTTTTTTTTGCCATCATTAATCGATCCATTTATTGTTCAGTCACGCATGTTGAAACTTACAATTAAACTGCGAATGCATATGATTAAGTTCAATCGTAATAATAATAAAACAATATTGTATTTTGCGAATAGATTTTGTTTGAAACGCAAAAATGAATTCTTGAATAGTTGAGTTATAGTGAATGACACTAAACTTGCAGGTCAAACAGTAAAAATTGTTCTCACGAAAGATTAAAGCAACTTTAGATCAACTTGATCTCTTTCACTTCCTGGTTCAACTAGCTTTATTTACAACGTAGAAAGCATTTGTTATGTTTAAAATGATACCAAACTGTCGTTACTAGTGCACCCAACCACTATAAGTGAAAAACTATAGGTTAAATATGTAATAAAATGCAAACATACCGTTTTCACTTGTAGTCAGTGTTCCAACAACATTGAGTATTATTAAGATGATGCATTCAAAACTCGCAGATATTTGCCTCGTTGAATGTGAAATCATCATGTTTCCCCGATGCTCGTTCTGCACTGCGGTTTTGCGGTGTTCTCCTTTCGGCTGCTAAAATAACTGGTTGTCTTTGTTTTGATTGCGAATATGAAATGTTTGCACAGTTCCGCCTTAGTGTAATGAATTCAAAATTTTCAGTAAAGTCATTACTTTCGATAGTGACGTAGAGGGGGGGGGAGGGAGAGCGAACTCTTGTACTCTCACAAGAACTGCAAGAGAGCAGAATTACATTGGTTATTTGAACAGAGCAATTGTTAAACAAACAATATTAAAAGCGATAATCACAGTATTTACAGCAAAAGAAAATACTTGTGTGAAATATTTATCTATGTCTAGCGGTCTAGTCGATCAGATCGCGCATAAGACTGGGACTAGAGGCAGGATCGAATTCCAGCCATGACGCCACTTTACACATTGAAGTCATGCAATGTAGTTTGATATGTATAAATCAATCTCGCAAAGTTTAAAGCAATGTTAAATATCTTACACAATGGTTTTCACATCATCCTTGTTTTCAAGGTTCAGGCCCCCCTCGACGTGCTCTGGTTCTTTCCTCCCGGAATATTAAGTCGTCCTTGAAACTTCAAGGATCGATTTCCGTTCGTGTTTGGAATCCGAATTTCAAACACATCAATGTACGCTGCATGATGCTTGCAAAACGAGCAATACGAGCTGAACAGAATTAACAGAATGACGATTTGTGTTTTATCTCGTAGTGATTAATCATCATGATGAGTATTAATTACTGCACGCAACGGCTTTTCAAAGAGAATATTATACTAGTAGCAATAGTATGTGCATCAAAATACGATATTTCGACCCTCGAGTTCAAACCCTCGATCCTCTACAAAACTCCAGACTTGTCTTGTCACGAAACCCTTTTCATAGTCCAACCAACTTGAAAAAGTACAGAAATCGTACTTCAAAAGCAACGGAAAACATCGTGAAATCAAGCAAAACACGGACAATAATAACGTCATATGCGCACAAGGAATGATTAACGTGGGGTAGACTCCGCAATGTAAGCCAAGAATTTTATTTGTTCACATTTTGAATCACTGTATGTCTTAAAATATCAAGAGCAGTCAGAATGTTTCAATAACAAACATGCTAAATTTCAGCAATTTTAATTAAAGTAGCCTACGCATTGTTATGACCAGAACCGATGCATTAAGGCCTTAAGGGGAAGCTTAACATAACATAACTTCTGCCTCCCTTTATGTCTCGGTCTCTCTTGAAGACTCCTCTATCGTTTTAGCCAAAACATATCATTTTCTCTTCTTATTTCACTTATTATTAGATTTCAATATATATTAATAGTAAAAGCAAGCTTGCTAGAAAGACTATTTCACAGTTGGAGATCTGACTAAGGAATCTTGATTGGAATAATTGGCTTTTATTGCATACATAGACTCTTACTCTTCTTTATGTTTGCATAGTTCAGAAGAACAGCATAGTTCTATTTACAGCGAGGTTCGTGGCTCGTGTCTTCGTTTTGCCTTACATGACGTGTCATTCAAATCTGTTTGACCGAACTCTTGTAGCAGCAACACTGTAACAGTTCACTTGTAGTTTAAAAGGCGATCCGACTAAAGGCTAGTTTCCACTCAGGAAAAATTTCGTCTGGATTTTGTCGGTGAGTTCTCGGGCGGAGTTTATACAAAGGAAACTTTCCTGTCCTGTCCGATCCAAAGGAGAATTTTCCTGAGTGGAAACTAGCCTTCACTTTGCACACAGGATTTGTGGCCGTCGCGTTAATATGATGCACTCTATATGAGAACTGGAACAACCTAAAAGCTAAATTGGCTTGACGGCACCAGTTCTTTTATATTGGTTTTCGCCGCGTAGTTTGCAATGAGTGCATGCACAAACAAGCGATGACGCGATTTATAATCATGCATCGAGACGATGAACGAGACACGAGAACACTTTCGAAAATGTTCAGCAGGTATTTGCGTCTTTAGTGTAAAATATGATATATTTACTACAGAATTAGGCTCATGCGAAGTCCATAATGGTGAAAGCATATCTGATATACTTTCTGATGGACCTATACAAAATTTGTGCGCTAGTTAATACTAGATTTACTCGACTTTGAAACTGTTGAAACTTTGTTTTTCTTTTTAACACACGACCCCTTCATAATGGCCGTTCGCGCCACCATTCATCTTTTCCGTCATATCAATGTTCGCGGAGATCTCTCGCTTGTCTTCGGAACGCCTCGGAAGAGATCGCGACGTCATGACCAAATCGTCGGTGCGCAAGTCATGAACGAGGTAAATAATGTAGACTTTTTGCGCAAATAGGCCGAGCAGGGTGACGAGTCCTATCAAGATGCACGCGCCGGATACGAGGTAAACATGAGTCGAGCTGTATTTTGTGTTTAAGTAAAACGGGAAAAAACACGTCCAAGTGGCGCATGTTACGTACATAGTTATTCCGATGTATTTAGATTCGTTGAAGTTCTTCGGGAACGTGCGAGTTTTAAATGCATACGCAGTGCACAAAGCCATCAGCACCATCACATAGCAAAGATTCACGGAGAAGCTTAAGGCGTCGACTTCACATTCCAAAACCAACTCCTCCCGTTCGCTGTAGTACGTTTCCTTCGCCCGCACCGGCTTTGCAACGAACCACAGGGCTGTAAACATGAGCTGGATTGAGACCAGTGCGAGGGTCACCAACAATTGCATTCGCGGTGTTACCAGAGCGGGCCGAGCTACCGAAGACCTGGCGCTAGTGAAAATGCGGTAAATTCTGTTGATTTTCATAAACAGCGGTGCGTAGCACATGGCGAGCGCAAGCCCGATGACCAGGTTCCGCGCATAACACACAGGATCGTTTGGCTTCGCGATGAACATGAACGGTAAGATGAAACACAATGATATTCCAGCGAGGATCACAAAGCAAAGCTCTCTTCCCGAAGCTTTCACAAGACGGTTGTCCTTGTGCTTGAAATAGATTAAAACCGTAAATAAAGTTAAAAAGAGACATACTATGGAGATGAGAATAAAAGCAATTGATGCAGGATCGTTCCATGTTGGGTACAATACTTCGCGTTTGTCAAAGCCAGTGTAGTTTGCATTTGGCTGCCATCCGTCCGGACCAGATACGCACGTGTTGTTCACGTTCACGATCTGTAACTTGCCACACCCCTTGCATTGCCAGCAGCACTTGAACGGCCGTTCTGGCGAAGGCACGCGAATCGAGTTGCGTTCGCATTCACTTGTACAAAAAGATGGCGGTGCCGTTGGCAAACTCCGACGCCACTGTATTTTCTCCGTGTTTAACTCGAGCCGCCCATAAATTTTCCCGCCCTTTTGGTGACCGTTCCAGCCACCCACGCGAGTGAATCTACGAACGTTGTTCTTTTTCTGTACATTTAAAATATCATACATAGCGCTGACTTCTAAATTCTCGTCGAATTCTACAGTCGTTTTCAACGTTGGATCTTGGAATGAGACATTTTTAAGGTGCTCCAAAAGGCGAGGACGTTTAAAATCCTTCATTTCTTTACACATCCCTTCTTGCCCCGGACAAAGTTCTTTTTGAAGGCTGTCCAACGCGTGCGCAAAGGCGTACACTGCGTTAATAACCACGCGGACTGGACTGAATTCAGGGACAGTGTTTGCCAAGGTTTCATTACCGCTGCAGGTTTTATTGAATTTGTTTTTGTTAATTTGACTCTGGCTTCCAGTAAGATGACAATGGAAATGTTCCTCCCAGAATTCGTGAAAACACCTGTGTGTATAATATTTGAAGTTAGTCGAATATAATTTGTATTTGGTGTGGTAAGATGTGGTACGACATGGCGGTATGGTATGGCGTTTTGAGTCGTATGGTATAATAAGCTGTAAAATGGTGTGGTATAGTATGATATGGTGTGATATAGTATGATGTGGTATGGTATGGTATGGTATGGTATGGTATGGTATGGTATGGTATAGTATGGTATAGTATGGTATGATATGGTATGGTATGGTATGGTATGGTATGGTATGGTATGGTATGGTATGGTATGGTATGGTATGGTATGGTATGGTATGGTATGGTATGGTATGGTATGGTATGGTATGCAAAAAGATATTTACTCACCCCATATGTCCTCTGGGATAATTTGTTAAATTGAGGTTCAAGAAATAATCCTTAAACTCCTTCAGCACTTCACCGCGTTGTATCTCAATCTCGAGGAGCCCGAGAGCGGATTCACCAGCCTCAGCGGTGATATCTTCGATGTTGCTCCAACCATCGTTACCAATCCACGTAAACCGCTGTGCATCATCGTACATGCTTGCCGCCTCAAACAACTTCCTTGCATCCGTTTGCGACAGGAACAGCACAACCGTTGACATGTTGGTCTCCCTAGCGCTCTTCAAAAGAGCTTCGATAACATCCCTGTATTCCCGATCGGTCGGAAATGAACTCAGTTGTTTCTCCACGTCAATGCAAATACCTTCTTCCCTGGCAAGTTTCTTAACATTCCGTATGCCGTTTTCACCATATTCACCTGGCGAGTTAACGGTCGAGATGTAGGTCCAGCCGAATTTTTTTATGATATCTATCATCGCCCTAACTTGAAACGAATCAGGTGGCACGGTGCGTAGAAAGTAGCTATAGATATCTTTGTTGCTGAGAACCTCGCTTGTTGAAGCGTAGCTGATTTGAGGTATCTCAAAAACTCGAAGAAAATTTGCCACCACCAAGGAAACTTCGCTAGTAAGTGCGCCCACAACTCCAGCCAACTGTCCACTGTTGTTATCGACCAGGCTTTGCTTGATAAACTCCTTCGCACGATCTGCCGCGATGGTTTTACTGTAGCAGGTGTCGTAGATTTGTGTCCCGAGGGTAATGTTAGGCAGGATACTCTTGTCATGGTTAATTTTATCGATGGCAAACATCATTGCCTCCATATATTGGTAGCCGTTCAGTTCGTTGAATTCCCCGCATTCGTTTTCTGACTTTTTACTTTTTTTGTGTATCGCGAACAAACCGCCAATGATGACGTCGCCTTTCGTTACCATGGCGCCTGAGAAAATGAGAAAAACAAATAAGGGTAATGCTCTTAAGGTCTTTTCATACGATCCAATATTGTTGGATACAATTTACTTATGACGTATGGAACATAAGTATGTTATTGATAAATGAGCAGTACCACATTGGCTTCAATGCATTTGCCGCCCATAAACACAATAAGACAACAGACTATAAAACATCCATCAGAAGTGAAATGGATCCAACAAACTTGGATTGTGTGAACGGACCTTCACATAAAATCACCGCGCATAAACCGGAATAGCTTAATGAGGTTTGTTAAAAATAACTCAAAGAATCTCAAGGCTAATTAGTGGGTAGGCCATCTGGGGTAGCAAACTGACTATAACGGTCTTGAATTAATTGAAGTCATCATGATTACGACATTCAAATTACATAATTTTTTAAGGGAAGAATTGCGTTTTGTTCACTGACCACACGCTCAACAGAACCTTTGTCAACAGAGCCTTTGTCATACAAAATCACGCGAGAGGGTACAAATACGAACTATGACGTCATAAATTTTTTTTCGTCTCCGAAAATTTGAATTTTTGCTGACGTCAACCCACGCCATCGTGGCCAGTATAATCGGATCTTGTCCTTTGCAGAAATGCCAGAATGGCGTGGATCAAAGCTATTCTTATAAGATGGCGCCAGATTGCATATCAATAGCGTTATTTGCTGTGTCATGTAATATATAATAAAGAAAACTTGGAAATTTCTGGGACAGAAATTATTCTTTAACCAACATTTAAGCTCAATTTTCGACATATTCGTGAACGATGCCAAATTGTTTAGGGTGTGCCGTTGTAATGCAATTATGCTTGGTTTATATCCAAGTTGTAAAATTATAAAGTGGTTCAGTATTCAATTCGAGATTCAATTTATTATTGTGTTTTTCCGTTTTATTCTGCCGACGTTTCTATGGTCACAGTTTGACATTTGGCATAGCCATGGCATAGGTAAAATGACTTTTAAAAACTTGGATTCAGTTTTGATTCAGACGAACTTATCAACCATACTTGTGGCTTAGCTAGTCGCATCTGTTAAGGTGAAGCACACTTCATTTCTACGAGAACGGCGTTTTCATGAAAGTCTAAATCTAGAACTATCGGAACTTATATCAACTATACTTTTGGCTTAGCAAGAAGCATTTTTTACCGTGAGGTCAATTTTCTATTCTTAGGAGTAAAGAATTTTCACAAAAGTCTCAATCGAGAACAATCAGATGCCGGAAAATAGCACACTCCGCACTCGGAAAACACGCTGACGACCGGATTGACACAGTGAGAAAATCTTTGCTGCAAAAATTATCATATGTATGCTATTGAATACTGAGGGATTAATTTTAAACCTTTTGGCAAAGGTGCATGGACGTCCTGATGCTTTGGATCTTTGCCATAAAACTAATGCTTTTGTACACAAAACTGCACATGGAATACTTATTCAGACATGCAGTAGTTTGTGATTTTAGACGGTAATTTTATTTCTTCTTCGGTGCTTGTTTAAAAGGTTTCTACGCGTGATGCTATAAAATTATTAAACAAGTCGGCCATATATATATATATTGCATTTTGTAACAGTCCACGAATGGTGCTCGTTATAACGCGAACGACATTCCTGACTTCGATTGCAACAGCGTTCAAAAAGCCTGCCCACGCTAAAATGCTGTTACCATGGGGCATCCATCACGTCTACCTGACGGTATTGTTTCTATGTTTAAATCCTTTTGCCTTGGATACCTATAGTCGCAAAACGACGACGTATTAAAGTAAACTATTCTTGGAAGTCCCTTAAGCTTTCAGCGCCATATTCCTGGCGAAATATATAGGATATCTTTTTAGCCGCGTAATAACAACCTATTGTTTTCATCTCGGTTTAATCGATTCACGATTGCGTCAAGTTGATGGCGCGGTTATATTAGATCCTAAGACATTGCCATTTTTTTATTTTTGCCCGAAGCCCAAGGGGGACGATATGAGCCGTCTTTAATTTTCTTGCTTTTTTCATTAATTACACGAGCAGGCTTGCCGAAAAGTATTGTAAAATACATTTTTATTAAATGTTATCTTTGTTTCAAATATTTCACACAATTAAAGTCCGTGTATGACATAAAAGTCATAATGAATACTGTACACAGTCTTATTTTTCGACTTTATTGCAAACTTTACCGAAAGTGTTTTACACTTTGAAATAACGGCATATTGTGACACCTGTATACTGTCACTAAAACCTTTTAGTTTATATCAGCACGTTTTATTACTCTTTCATTTACACAGCTGATGCGTTTCACGATGAATTTACATAAAATACATTTCCTTCAAAGGCAATACAACTCGGTAATCGGTAATATAAGTTTAGAACATTGCAAATTGGAATTTCTTTCATGTCAAACGCCCTCGCTGATGTTACCATAATTACGCTTTAACAGTTCCGGTAAACATTCGTGCAGAATAGTCGAACAATAAATTCACAGCTAAATTAGACGGATATTTCTTGACAAAACGTTCCAGCCAATTTACAACAAGACTATATATTAGCTTGTGTTTCGTGACATTTAATTACATAGTTTGGTAGACGGCCTACCTTTGTGGGAAATTAAATATATATAGCTAGTCAGCGAGTTATACATTATTAATATCATTGATAATACATATTTGCTAGTGTAGCTAGTATTTTATTACCTCACGCTTTGATATCATAAATGAAACGATTATTTAGAATTCTTAGCCGTGTTTCTGTTGAAAAAACCGGTAGTAAATCGGTTGCTACCGAGAATGACCCGATGTGAATATGTCCAGAAGCAGAATAACATCGAGTGGAAAATTTGTGGAATTGAAAAAGAAACATTCTCTATATTTCGCGCGTTTGATTCGGTGTAACTTTTAGTATTGCGCTTCAACCTTAAGTCATTATGCATGCCCTATAGAATTATAGCAAAGATTACTTGATATTTCTATATTTTACTCTCAAAGTCGGCGACAAAACGCGACTTAGAGTCTATATTCGGTTTTGAAATCATCCCGATTGCTGATATTCGAATTCGTTTCTCCGAAAAATACCAGAGAACTTTGTGACAAATGCGACAGATTATATCAATGCATGTTTATAACACATAATTAATTAACAGTTGCAATACGTTTGTAGTCAAAATCGTCGTCCGCAATTACAAACCTTTTGCGTTCACAAGATTTGAAGGTCCATAAGAGAGGATCATCAACAAAGTGAAACCACATAACATTTTTTTCATCTTGTCTTATCTGAGTGATCTCGCACATGTAAAATGGTTGGTGAACTCTTCCTTAAGCTCTCCACGTTATGCCTTTCGACCTACAAAGGCAAATTCTGTGTTCTCGCCGAACCCTGTTTAATATTTATATGTCTTTTATGTCACAGCGCTATCAACATTTCCGGATTCGATATTACCCATTTAATTCGTTGAAGTAATTTTGCGCTGTGAAAGAGGTTGTTGTCTAAAGTGATTGTTGCATCACTCTAGCTTTGTCATTCAAAAAGAACCAATCCTTTTGTCTCGCGACACGCGGTCCGATCACGCTATCTTGAACACAATGTCAGGACGCCATGGTGAGTGTAAATTACCCGCGAGAATCCTTCACGAGTTATTTACTTACGCCATACGACAACATGTAACCACTTAAAAATACTGGTCCTTGACAGCACGCGCTGCTTCGCGACGTGACGACAGATATATACGTGCATACATCGCTAATTTGGCTCGATAAATCTTACTCCTTTGTATAGAAATCCCATAGTTCACATACTAACGATAACTTTAACGACCAGCCGACAACAAAGAAACGGAAATTTTTGACAACCCATGCAGAGACGTTATATAGTCCTATATAACAATGCTGATATGCATTTGGCGAGAGGTAAATAGTTGATATATTTTAACAAGCTCTATCAGGGCAATTACGTCGGCAGCTGCTCCGTACATGGTTACTCTCATATTGGGTGAGCCAACCAAAATCAACACTCGTTTTTGGAGGACTTTGCCAAGGGCTCGCATAAGTTTTCCGTCTTATATTGCGTTAAAATGCTACAAGCCTATAGCAAAAACTACTTTGGGGTATGACGAGTTTGCGCAAACTTGCGTGCGATTGTTGTTATGTGACCGAATGCATCATCATAGCCTGGAGTACTTGTATCAATATATGGTTGTCGACTGATAAATATGTTGTCGTGACGTCACTTACGAGACTCAGTCGTTTATCCAGTGTGATATAGAATTGATCTACAGTTTTTACTTTACGCGAGGTCCAACAGTCTCCAGCTTTATGGGACATCGGGTATAGTTTTCTCAAAAACCTCAGGTGAAACAGCATTAGAGCCAAAAGCCAATATGTCCCTATAAAAGTTCTGAAGGTCGAACAATCAGTGGATTAGGTCTTACAACCAAACCACTGTACAAGTACATAATACTCAGAAGCACTATGGAACAACAAAAGAGCTATCTCAACATATATTCGGGTCTTTTCAAGAAACATTACGGAACTATCTAAGCACATTTGGACATACACAACAGCAACATCACGGACGAAAGTCTCGTACGAATTTCATCGTTCATTTTTCAGTCTTTGTTTTACTATCCTGAGCTTGGAAAAAGTTCAATACGGTTATCAATCTGTTGACATGCATGCAGTGTCAACAGAAAGATTACTGATCCAGTGGGCACTTATGACAGAGCGGTGTTATTCACAAACGGATCGGCAATGTATCTATCTCGTAGGAGAATATAGAATCATTTTCAAAAATTGACCGCTTTTAATTAAAACAGACAAGTTCCGTCATTGACAAGTACCTTCGTTTCACAATAGATTAATGGCACAAAAACAGGATGTTTCAAATATATTGCAAACTCTTTTGAAGTCAGATTATAAGATACCCACGATAGTGCGTTATCATAGTTCTGACCTTAATTGCACTTTGTGTGGTTAATTAATAAAAATTAAAACGTATTTTGAATTTCATAAAAGCCTGCCTTGTTGGAAGGAGTTGAAATGCTTTTTGTATTATTTACTTATGCAAATTTTTGTGGTCACTACAACTTTTCCAGCACTTCCATGGAAACTGCCGTTTCCAGCACTTCCAAATGTTAAGGTTCCAGCAAGGCTGATTTTCACTCCGTGCAGAATGTTTTCATATTGACAGCCATATTGGAGTGACCGCGTAGAGACCTGCCACGAAGTCGTAATAGTCGAAAGTTCGGGAAAACGTCAGTCTGGATCGGCAGCCATATTGAAAAGTCGAGATGATCGAAAGTTCAGGAAGACTTCCCCCAGACGTTTTCGTGCCCTTTTTAAAAAGTTTTCATATTGGTGGCCATATTGAATTTGACCGCGCAGAGACCAGCTTTTTTTGCAGTTTACAACACTGTGATGCTGAGCAAGGCTACAATTTTTCTTTCTTGTCCAACTTTATTACAAAAAGAAGAAATTAACCGATTTATTAACGTAGAAATATCCTATATCATAAAATATCAGTGTTCATTTGCCGGCATATACATGCAGTATTATAAGTTTTTGCCAATTTGTGTTTGAATTGCACTATAGTGGCCTATGACTCAACCCCTCGTGATTCCAATTGCTACGCAACACTTTTGTTTAGATAAATATTATGCAGGAAAGAATTGCAAAAATAGTAAAGTCAATAAACAAATTGAATAAGAATCCAGCACTTATAGCACCTAATGCGTTGAATAACCTTGCAAACGTGACAACCGTAAGTGAAGGAGAAGTGTAGTACAGGTTTTAGTGTCAACCATTTTGTGCGAGCTGTCATTTCAAGGTAAACCGTGACGCGTGGTGACCTGTAACGTTTGCACACCTTAAAAAGCCCAAGCTAAATTCAACTCAGTTTAATCCTAAAAACAAGCAGGCTGCAGGTCGTCATGACAACATCCGCTCAGCTGTGATTATAAAAGCACCTGCACAACCTAAAGCCCGGCGCACACTGGAGGAATCAGCTGAGCTGAGCGTCACTCAGAATATGAAAAGAACACACGCGCATTCGCTCAAAAAGCTCAGCTAACAGTCACGAGTGATGCTCAGCTCAGCTGTTTCCTCAGTGAGCGCCGGGCTTAAACTCAGCGGCCAAACTTAGCAGTTCGCTCAACAGTGGACTTAACAAAATGTCGTCTTGTATAAACGTTTTGAACTTAATTTGAAAAATCCACAAATCAAATTTCAACCAAATCTGACCTCGTGCTTCAAAATATCATACTTTACGCTGTAACAAAAACCGCCGGTTTACCCGTTAAAAAACGCTCTAAAAAGCTTCAAAAGCATGGGAACGTGTCTTTTAAATTAACTTTTAATCAAGTTTTACAAGGCAACCAAAATTTTTGGATTTAGCACTTAGCAGTTTCAATACGTCTTAAACATGCGTATAACTTACAAAACGCTCAACGTCCATGACATAATGCCAGACCGTCCGAAGGACACTAAGTGTGTCAAAAACACGCGTATTATAATGCCTGAACGGACGACTTCAATTTCGCATTTGTATTCCCGGATGTAATGTCCGGTCGGAATTATTACCCTCGCCAAGTGGCTTAGCCCCGGGGATGATGCAGTTACTGACTGTATATGATCTGTTATACAATATGATTGGCTGAGCTACTCACAGTATACCAACTCATATACCAGTAATACAGCACATTGATTCTAATCTTTCTTCTAAAACTTTCACCTCTGTTCATTTTTGATTATATAATTTAATTTAGTTTGAACAGGAATCCACAAAAGGTTTTCATTTTATTTTAAACTGTTCGTCTTCAGGCTACAATTTGTAAAAAACTAGTTTTTAGCATTAATTTCAGATTTTCACAGCTAGCTCCATTTAAACCTAGCTGCGGTTGTGTACATGCAGACATTAAAAACTGAATTTAAAACGTATACACATTACCAATTTTATAGATATGAACTTTCCTCTTTAAAACAACACTTCCACAGCGGTGCTCGTATTGAAAATTTAGCCCAATACAGTTAGAAATTCCAATGGTAAACTTGTGCTATTAAAATATAGTTGCGTGGGCTTGCTTTGCCACCCACGTTTATGTTATTGATGAAAGAAAGACTCTTTATATCAAAACCACGGCAACATGACTATAGCCTGTCGCCATTCATTTGAAGGAAAATGTCGATTTTAATGTGTCGCGTAAATTTGAACAACATTGCTATTGCTTGGGTATGATGAGGCGCTATAAACTTTCCCACCAAATGAACTGACGCCGCCACCTTAAGTATCGAAAATATACATTTAATCAATTATCAATGATGAGCAACATAAGTTTTGTTAAAAATTAACCACTATGCTGTGAAATCATTGAGCGGAGTGGTTAACTTTGTCACAGATTCCAAAAAACAAATTTCAAGGCTCATTTTGATCAGGCTGTCAAAATACAGCTTCTGTAACCCCACGCTGACGTCATCACACATTTAGGGATTCTAAGTCGGCGTACCTAACCAATATCAGAAAACCAATAAGATATATGGACAGTCTGTAACTCCGTAACAGGATTTTGAATCTTTCAACATTGAACACTTTAAATGAAACGACGAAATACTGTTGCATGCCGTTGCCTTTTAAGTAAATTCTTTGAATACCTCCTACCTAAGATAATACTATAATAACATAAAATTTGCATAGCATAACTAAATCGTCAGGCTGGCTACGCCACTGATAAACATTTCTCATACACCTTCGTTACTCGTTAACTACTTGACACTTGTTGACGTTATCTTTCTCAGAATAAGTTGAAAGGCTATTCTCACAACTCAGCTTTTAGCTTCGTATGAAAGCAGATTGCAATTCTATTTCTAGCCGAGGTCATGCTGGCTTGATTGATCACATGAGTTGAAGGAATGCATTTTTTACCGTTTAAATTCAATAACACGCTGTCACAAAATTTCACTATGCTCACTTAACAAACATGTCTGAAGTGGTAACAGGTTTGCTGAAGCTAGCGGGCAGCGTACTTCGCACTTCGGCCGCTAAGAAACTACAAGATGGTGATCTTACGGACGAGAAGGTTAGGAAAACCATTATTAAACAATTGGACACAATCGAATTTAAACTGGACGGTTCGAACCGAAAAGAACTTTGTGCGAGCGAAAGCAGTCTACGCCAAGGAATAGAACATCTGATCATGTCTTTAGACGAGGCTGTCGAGAGTGAAAGCTCGCCTGCATCTGAATTACAGGAATACCTGGATCAACCGCAAGATACATTTACAACCGACGCTGGGGCAACTTCGAATGAAGCTAAACCAACTCGAACTTCTGCCAGTTACGCACTTTCATATGCTGAAGCCGTTCAAAAATTAAACGTTGTGTCAAATAAACGATTGGAGTCGGCTAAAAAGCATCTCGAGGAGACAGAAAAGACGGCGAGACTAGCTTTTCATAACGCAGCTTTGAGCACGGAAGATAGAATCTTAGCGAGTGAAATACGCATCACAAGTGCAATCCTTAAACTGCTAGACGACCCTGAACTTGTGGTCAAGGACTGCTTCCTGTATCTTAAAGAATTACATGATATGCCAGCAATTAAAGAAATATTTTCTGTGGAAAATAAACTTGGAACGACATCACGGCTCAAATCAAATTTCCACAAAGAATCCCGGGC